GGGCCTGGGTGGTCTCTCCTCCGTGGGCGCCGGCGGCCCGGCCTCCCGGGCAGGCCCCGAGCTCTGGCCACCCGCTGCCAGGCGACCGCAGGGCGCGACCTCGCCTGAGGCTCTCCCCACTCCGCTTCTGAGGGACTCCACACCCCCGAGGGCAGCCGGAGGGTGGGGGTCCTCCTCTTGCCCGCCCTCGGCGTCTGCTGGAGAGAGGGGGTCCCAGACAGGACAGGCTCTGGTGAGGGCCCCACGGCACGCTGTAGTGCGGACGGGATGAGGACCGGGGAGCCCCGCTGCAGAGGCGAGGTGGCGTGCCCCGGCCGACCGGCGCCTTGTGGAGCCGGGTCAGCCGCACAGGCACCGACTGCGAGAAGCCTGCCCGCGCCCCCCTCCGCCCACCCACCCCCTCTTCTCCCACCTCTCTCCTCACCTGCTGCCGGCCGCCCCGCGCTGGAGGCCTCACCCTTGCCGTGCACCTGGGAAGCCCAGAAAGGTCTGCCGAAGGGAAGCCCTGCGGAGAAACGCGCTCAGACCCGCGCCCAGCATCCCCTGCCGTGGGGAGCAACGGGGGGCGGGTGCAGCTGGGAAACATGCGAGTGGAGCCCAGCATCAGTTGGGCTCAGGCAGCCCCCCTTCAGGAAGAGCACCGGGGTGCAACGCCACCCCCCTTTGGGAGCTCTGCCCTGCTTCCCTCAACGAGCACCAGGCACTAAATGGGGGAGCAGGAACAGTCAGCTGCCAGCACCCCTCGTGTCGGGAGGGCTGGAGCAGAGGGCCAGCCCCGTCCGAAACCGGACAGTCCCCACTCTCAAGGAAGCTGCACCATCTGCAAAGGGGGAGGCTTGGGCTCAGAGGGAGGGACAGTGAGCCCCAAGAGGTCAGGGTCAAAGGCCCATTTTCCAAGCCCCCCAGGACAGGGCCCCGGGGATCCTGGCCAGTATGAGTACAGAGCGCCTGGCCTCCCTGCCCCGAGCTGCAGCGAGGGTGGGGGCAAACCAGGCCAGCGGGGGCCCATTGAGGGTTGCGAGCGGCGGGAAAGTCTGTCTGCAATCCCAGGACTCGGGACGACCTGCTGGCCGCCCCGGACAGCGTGAGCGCTGGTGGCCAGCCAGCCCGGGCAGTCGGGGCAGCAGGCCGCGGTTGGGCGCTGTGGCCAGCGGGTCTGGGCCTGCTACCCGAGGGTGGGACTACCAGCCCCCACTCCGTCTGGCGTACACGGGGCTGCCGGACAGGCAGACGGATGACTGAGTGGACAGGAAATGTGGCCAAGCAAACAAGAGCCCGAAAAAGGCGTCTGATGTGAGGACAGCAGGCGGCCGAGGAGACGGTGTCCTGGAGAAGGGTCACACCCTATTTCCCACCAACAGGCCACTCCGGCGCCAAGCTCCGCACTCAGGTGCCTCTACACTGGGCTGGGGTGCGGGGGCGGGGGGCCAGCGCCCCTCGGGCACGGCGGCTCGGCAGCCACACGCGGCTAAGTCAGAGGAGATAAAAGACGTAGCTGCTCTGCTCCGCACTGGGGCAGACACCCGGGGCGAGGGCGCGGCTTACCCCAGGCCAGCCCGCTCCGCTTCTGCAGGACTTCCCTGTGGACGCTCTGCTGTGCACGGTCCAGCCGCCCCCACTCCTCCCGGGACAGGTACAGAGCCACGTCCTCGAAGGTCACCGGCATCTGAAACGGGATGGCCACGCTCAGCGTCGGGGCAGCAGGGCTCAGCACGGTGCGGCGCGAGCCCCCGCCTGGAGCTTCTGCCCTGGGGTCTGAGGTGGGGCAGGGCGGCGCCAGGGCGGCTTTTCAGGGCAAGAGAGAGTGTGCAGGGTCCAAGCAAGAGCGAGAACAGCATCCGTCCGGGGGCCGAGGCCCGCGCAGCCCATCCGCTCGCCCCCTCGCCCGCACAGCCGGCGGGCACTCACCTGGGACCAGGCCGTGAGGAGTGCCGCGGCCATCTGCGGGTCTCTGGTCCTGCCCTCTCGGGCGGAGACCTGGGGGGACGGGAGGGCTGAGAGAGGAGAGAGGGCCTCAGGGCGGACACGAGGAGCAGCGGGTCGGGTGCCCATGGCCACGGCCCTCCCGGGCTCCCCGTGCCTCCGCTCACCTGCGCCGGGCAGGAGCGGCGCCTTCTCCAGGGCCACCTGGGCTGGGGCTGCCAGGCCCCGCGCTGCCTGAGCCCCGCCCTCTGGCGAGGCCTCGTCGGGCTCCGTCTTGATGTGGGGTGACTCCTGAGAGACTCCCGAGGGCACCACGTCCTCCGGCTGGGCAAGCACGTCCTCGAGCCCCGGACCTGCAGCCTGGGGTGGGGGGCACGGTGGGCACACTCAGGCGCAGCTCAGGCGCCGTCTCAGCAGGGCCCCAGCAGCCACAGTGGGCGGCGCCCTTCGTATAGTGGAGGGGCGCCCCTCGGTAGGACAGGTCTGCGGGTGGAATCAGTCAGGAACCCTGAGAGCAGACCCCCGGGGTACAGGCTGGCCCTGAACCCCACGACGCTCGCCAGTGTCCCGGGAGAATGAGGGCGCCGAGGGCAATGGCAGGTGACGCAGCCGTCGCCGGTGCCAGGCCTCTGGCGGCCACGGGGACCCCCCACTCCCCCGAAAAGCGGCTGCTCCTTTGTGTCCTGCTGCTCCATGCCAATCCTGTTCTGGCCCGGGGACAAGCCAGGCAGGAGCCACCCCTCAGCGCGGGGTGGCCGCTGTAAGCCCTGCAGACGCAGGACAGCGGCCCGGCCTGAGGTCTGAACACCGCGGGCCGAGTTCGGCTGGGGCCTCACTGCTGTCCCAACTCCCCTACGAGGGTCTCGGGGGACAGCCTCAGCCAGACGCCAGATGTCGGGGTGCCCAAGCGCCACACAGGCCGGGTGGCCTCCGAGATGGCCACTCCGCCTCCCACACAGGGCTTCCAGCCTGCTCTGGAGAAAGCTGCCCACTGCAGGGAGCGCTGGCGACATCCAGAACTGCCCGAGAGTCACCGCCGCTGCCCGCAAGCCCGGAGAGAGCGCAGAGAGCTGCTGTGCTCGGGGCTGTGCCTCCTGGCCCAAGTCCTGAGCAAACCGATACCTGCCGTGTAGCTAAACGGCCCCGGACATGTGAGGGGGGGAAGGACGTCCCGCTGACCCGACACCTCTCCGGGGCTGACCGCTCCTGGGCTGACCTCTCCAGGACTGACCTCTTGGGGCTGATCCCTCCGGAGTTGACCCCTCCCGGGCTGACCTCTCCGGACTGACAAAAGGCTCACGGCCGCCACCCAGCCGTGCAGGAGATCCACATTGCACAAACAGGCGTCTGGTTCCCAGAGGCAGGGACTTGCCCCAGGTCACACACCTGGCTGCACCCGGCTCACATTCCTGACCCCTGCCGGGACCCGAGCTCCCCACACGCCAAGACTATAATCACACAGACACACACACTTGGCCGACTGACACAGGGCGGACCTGGGACTCAACCCCAGAGACCAGCCGGCCCGGGAGGAGGGGAGTGGAGCGCAGGGAGGGGGCTCCTCCGTGCTCTGGGCACGGTGGGGTGAGAACACCTCACCGCTCTGACCCCCAAAGTCTCCCTCCCTCCTTCATTCACCCTCGCGCCTAGGTTGACGGCCTCACCAGGCAAAGGGGAAAGGTATTTCCCATCGCACCACAAATCCCTTTCCCTCTGCGGGACCTGTCCCTCAACAGTCCAGACCCCCGCCCTGGCAACTGCGGCCCCGCCCCCGGCTTACCTCCAGGGCTCTCTCCTCGCCCTGGGCAGCCCGGCTGCCTCTGCCCTCCACAGACATTGTCAATGCCGCGCTCCAAAGCACAGCTGCGCGCGTGCCTCGCCCGGGCCCCTTCCAGCTTCTGACCAGAGCCTAGGAGCAGAAAATCAGCCGGCATTTCCGAGGCGGCCGACGCGCCAACCCCACGGCTCAGCCGGGCTGCCGGCCCCGGGAAG